AAAAACGCAAGAAAAATAACTTTAGTGGATCGAAGTTTAAATACCCTTTAAGTTCATCAACCAGCAAAAGTTTTTCTTCTCGACTTCAGGTCTAAAACCTACAAGTAATTCTTGTTTTTCTTATAGCAAATGTAGACGAAATGTTCCGATAATACCTTTATTTACTGCCTGCCAGGGTATCGAAAAACAGAAATTCAAAAGAATAAAAATGTCAACCCCACCAAGGTAGCCGCTCTCCTCCTGTTTCCCTCTCTCAGCTCGTTTCTCCTCCCTTTTCGGCTCCATGAAAAGGATTTAACGCCTCGTTTAATGGCAAGCAAGTTAATTCACATTTTTTGCGCATTACCAATTTTTCATTGAGCTTCCTTCGGTTGAGTCCCCACTTTGGAGCTGGCTTTCAGACATTCCGCATGCGGGGACGGCAGGTCGGAAAGGTGGGGCATGCCAACTGCCAACGTCTGCACTTTTCCCAGGAACCAGGGCTAAGGCTAATTCTTTTGCTGTTGTTGGTGGAAGCTCAGGGATCACGAGGCTGATTTGTGCGGGCTCAGTGAATGCTTCAATTGGATTAGAAACTTCACTGGAATTAGTTGTCTTTACTGGTTCCGAGTTCACCGAACAGCTCGTTGTCTTTTCCCATTCGAGACCAAACTACAGGGTAACCTTTCTCAGCGAGATGGTCCTTTGCTAGTCCACCTCCATTGGGGATACAAAAGAAATGCAATACGCTGCTTAGCTACCTCATGTCCGGGTAACTTGAGTACAATCCGGGTATACGAGGCACGTCCTTCCTGCTACCCATTGATCCTTTATGAAGAAATGATGTACCATTGTATTAATTTTTATTTATTCTAAATGACTTGTTCTTACTTTTTCATACTGATGCTTTCAAGTCCATAGATGTTATGTTTTGCCCTTAATTTCATCATTCCGTATTATTATTTTAGTGGATTGGTTTCCCTTCCTGCTTTCTTCTTTGAGCTAATATTCCCTCTAGTTCGTGGCGCTTTCCTTGCATGTCTTTTCGCGCAAGCTCAACTTTTGAATTCATAATGTCGACTGACCAATGCGATGGAAGGTTAACATTAAATAAATATAACACTAGCCTACCCCCCTTTCGTATAGGCCATAGAGGAGCCATTCTGGAAATTGGAAATTCCCCTTGCGGTTGATGGGAGCCAGATGATGGGCCAGAGAGGAGCAGTGCAGGAGGAGCTGATGGCGATGGCCATGAGCCAAAGCAATTGCCATTCCCGCCACATGCAATGTGCGGTTGGGTGGGTGTGGCTTCATCCCATGCTTCACTGCTGCAAGCCCAACCCACCCCCCGCCCACCCCCTTCGGTATTGCATTTCTGCTAAATGCAGAGAAAGCCAAGATTGCTTTGGCTTTGGCGCTTGGTCCGCCTTAATTGGTGCGGAAATTATTAATTATCTTTGGCCGGTGGCAGCCAGCTCCTTCTCCTTCGCCATCTCGATGGCCTTGCCCAGAAATCGAAAGCATTGAAAGGCGATTGGCAGTGTCCGGGATACTGATTCAATTTTCTGCTGCCGTCAGCTCCAGAAAATGCGAGCAACAACGTACCACCCGAATGGAATTGTCTGCGGTCTCCTAATTACCCGTTCAGACCCGGCCAAGTGCATTGCAAAATGTTGCATAGCTCTTTTGGTCGTTCTGCGGTTGACCATTTGAGTGTGTCTGAGAGATTGCGGCATTAAATGAATTCACTTTGTTAGGGCGAAAGTTTCTGTCAGTCAGAGGGATACATATGCCGCGAAATTGCAGATGTTTATACTGCAAAATCAGGGTAGACTCGACTATAGTTAATCTAATTATCCGAAAAATAAAACAAAACCTCTCTAGATCGTAATTTCAATTTTACATTCTGCAAAATAGAAAACGTAGAATAATTTATAACTGACTACAGAGCAAAGGGTATGCAGGATTCCAGTCTGGACTTGGTATCTATAGGGCATACGACTCCAAATGGTGCTCCAGGGTCTCCAAATAATGACTTCTAAGAGCCACCACACACTTACATGGAACCACTGCCAAGACAAGTCAGTTTTGCTGGTTGTTAATTAGAGCATGAGTCTGGTAGGTTGTCAAAAGTCTTCAACGGATGAGAACTGTGTGGTGTGGGCCTGCTAAGAACCTAAAGTTGACGTTGATGCACTTGTAATGTCAAACCACAAACCAATGCGAGTGGAATAGTATTTTTCAGCAATTAGGACTTGATTTATGCAGTTTTGAAGTACTTTAAATCGTGCCAAAATGGTTATTGAGGAGTATTTGGAGAAGTTCAAGCAAAGGCTTTAAAAATGCATTAAATTAAATGAAAGTAAACCCAATATGTTCCATTTATAAACGTATAAGTTACACGTTATTCATAACGATCTTCGAATAATAAATGGTTAAAGTTCAATATTTTGTGGAATTGTTGTTCCTTTTGCACAAAATGTAGGCCCTACTACTACTATGCTCCACAAATGTTATGCAAAATAATAAAAGCGGTGCGGAAACTTTTTTTACAACTTGTAAATCACTTTTTCGTACAATTTGCGAACATTACCAGACTTGTTCCCTAGTTGCAGACTGTAACAGTCTTGTATATTCTGCGAAAAGTTCTTAATTGCAAAATGCCCAAAGCCTGCTGCTGGCCCCCCCCCCAAAAGGGCCCCGACCAGCCGCCGACATCTCATTTTTGGGTAATTTGGCCATAATTATGACAAAGCCAACTGCTGCCAGCCAATGCGCCACGCCTACTTTGCTCGTTACTATTTTTGTTGTTGTAGTATTTTCAGTTCTTATGCAATTTTCCAAAGTTTTTGGCTGTACATTTAAACTTTAATTACTCGCAGACAATCGGGTGGGGAGGGGGCTTCAAAATGGCGTGCATTGTCAGCAGGAAAAAACTTTGTAACCCCTGACCCATGCCCCCTGCCCCCCAGGGGTGTGCAACAGGAACGTAGCAGAAAGGAAGAAGAGTAAGAAACAGAAGCCCAAAAATAGCAGACAGAAAAAGTATAAGGAAGAAGGGAAAGGGAAAAGCGGCGTACGGATATCTGCCTTTCGCCATTGATAAAATTGCATGCCATTTCCGGTCAGTAAACTTTCGATGGAAAAACTTTTCTTCGTCTTAGTGACTGCTGTGTGTGTGTGTATGTGTGTGTGTGGGTTAAGCGGAGCAAAAGTAAATTTTCAATTGAGCAAAGTTATGCAAGTTATTGTGCAAGCAGCAGGCTGAGGGCAGGCAGCATTGGGATGGGCATTTGGCAGCATCTACCTGTGTAAGATATGCATCTACAGTGCGTTTCATAAGTATTCGACAGGGTGTATTTACACCAAAACAAACTTAATTCCGGAACTAAACTCATACTCAAACTATAACTTATCTCTTCTTTAGTAGAAAAGAACGATTCTCGATAATGATAACCAAACCCGATAAAAAGCTTGATAAAAGCTTGCATAATAGAGCTCGATAAAATAATCGATAGCTCGCCTTGAAGTTCGATATTGCTGCAGTCGACAATTGACTAATTGCGATAACTTTCGTTCTTCTTTGAAAACAGATATTTCATTGATAAATCTTATGTGAGGTATTAGCCTTTTCCAACGATGGTCAACATTTCATCACAAGAGATCGATTGTACCCACCCAAAGCCACCTTATAGCCCCTTGCCAGACTGTACTTTTAAGCCATTTAACTTTGTTGCTCTAACAGTGCGATCCCCAAGTTGAAAATTTCGTTAAGCTGCTAAGAAGATTTTGAAGTGCATGCACAACTCGAATAACTCAATTAGTAAGGCCTTTTGTTATACTATGTTACGAGGAGTACTTAGTTTCTGTTGTTGTTGCCACTGCCACAGCCACTGCCACACTTTTTGCTGCTGCTGTGCATTGACTCGAAGCGCAATTTTCACGCTTCTGTGACTGGGCCAAGCCCCAAAAACGAAAGCGAAAACGTAAACGAAAAACGGTTGAAGAAAAGTGAAAATGAAAATGAAAAGAAAATATGCAAGTAAGCTAGCAAATAGAGGAGGCGGAGGCGATGCACCCAGTTAATTGGAACAAAAGCCAACAAGTAACTGCAATTGGAAGTGCACTTTCAATGAAAGTGAAACGTTAGACTCCAACTTTGAAAATACCCAATACCCAATGCCCCCAATACTGCACTATCAAAGGCAATCCCATACTGATACACTGAGAAATCAGTTTTGAAAATAATATATGCTCTCGATTGATACAAAATAGTATAGTTCCAATAAGTGCAGGCTTTGAACTTCCTGATATTTCAATTTATAGAGTTTTTATTGAGACGTTGCCGAAGATTGTTAGCCTCCGAATCCAGGGTAAAAGTACAGCCCAACCAATCGAGAGATCCTCTATAGATTCTTTGCAATAATCATATTGGCATTTTAGGACAGTATCCGATGACATTTGTTGGTCTGCTTTGAATATTTTCCCCCAGTGCAGCTTTCTCCACCTACCACGTGTGTTCCTCCTTTGTTTTTTTGTCAACAGCTCAATGTAAATTTGTTTAGCTTTTGCACTTTGTCCACCTGTGCGTGGCTCAACCCCAGCCCTACGCTCGGCCGCACCCAGTTCTGGCTAATGTGTCCCTAATTAGTTGCCACAAAACACCTTTGTGGTGATGGAACCAACTCCCCCCAGCCCTTAAGCCCAAGGGGTTTAAAAAATGAGCCACCATTTTTCACCAGCATTGCGGGCATTTGTCAACTTATTTGCCAGATGAGTAAGTCGGGGGGCAAAACACTTGAGAGTCAATGCCTAAGGAAAGGGTCAATCATAATAATTAATATTCTTTCATTACTCATTCGTTTTCAATTGAATAATGAGTGGCTATGTATTCGGTGCATATGTACTGAAATATCGAGATAAATTGCCACGATTCGATACTTTTTACGATGAAATCTCTGCGATCGTAGCTGTAGTGCCTAATAATAACAACAAGAGATTTCCTTCTATATTTCTTACAGTTTACAACTGCATTAAACGATGGTCAACGATGAGGGAGGCGAGACAGAGAGTAGCAAACTGTTAGGGTATGACTTCTATCGCCGTACTCTGGGATCCCCGCGGTATGTGGTGGCGCCCATGGTGGACCAAAGCGAGCTGGCCTGGCGCATGCTCTGCCGTCGCTATGGAGCCGAACTCTGCTACTCGCCCATGTACCATGCCAATTTGTTCGCCCACGATCCCAAGTATCGCAAGGATGCACTGCAAACGTGTCCAGAGGATAGGCCGCTGATCATTCAGTTTTGCGGGAATGATGCTCAACAGATACTGGATGCTGCGCTGTTGGCGCAGGATCATTGCGATGCGGTGGACATAAATCTGGGGTGTCCACAGGCAATCGCCAAGAGGGGACACTATGGCTCATTTCTGCAGGACGAATGGGAGTTACTGACGGATATTGGTGAGTGGAATTGACTTAAAGGTTTTATATTATAATGAATTCATTTCTCTCTCTTAGTCAGGACGCTGCACGAAAAGCTATCCGTTCCGGTAACCTGCAAAATCCGCATCTTCGAGGATCGAGAGAAAACCTTACGATATGCCAAAATGCTGGAGGCTGCCGGCTGTCAGCTCCTCACCGTTCATGGCCGGACCAGAGAGCAGAAGGGGCCCCTGACAGGTGTGGCCGATTGGAGTTACATACAGGAGGTGCGACAGCACCTGAAAATACCCATGTTCGCCAATGGCAATATACTGGGACTGGAGGATGTCCACCGGTGTCTGGACGAGACGGGCGTGGATGGTGTGATGACTGCCGAGGGTAATCTACATAATCCGGCCATCTTTCAAGGCCTAGCACCGCCCGTCTGGCAAGTGGCCAAAGAGTACTTAGAATTTGTGGATCTGTATCCCTGTCCCAGCTCTTATATCAGAGGACACCTCTTCAAGCTCTTCCATCACATGTGAGATTACACAGATAAATGTCTATTTTGTGGCCCTTTAAAGAGAACTTTCCCGACTGTTTATAGCATGAATATACGACAGAATTCAGAGCTTAGGGACACGCTGGCTACTTCGAACCAGTTAGTGCAGTTCCAAGCGGTTGTGGACAAGGTCCAGGCCAAATATGAGCCCTATCATAAGAAGGAAGTGGAGTATTTACCGGAGGAAATGGATGCCGCCATTAGTACAGATGTAAGTTAAAGAAGTTAAAGAAAAAGTTAAATTTCATACGTTTTTATCTTGATAGAAGCTCGAGCTTTCGCCCTGGCTCTGCCAGCCGTACATACGCGCCTCCCCCGAATCCCATCGTCAGAAAATTGCCGAAAAAGAGCTGGCAGCCATTGATCCGAATCGCGCAAAGCGTCAATACTTTGACAAAGATGGCAATGAAATCTCCCGGAAACGCATGAAGAAGCTGCGAAGACGCCAGCGGCGACCCAATAAAACCGAGGACCAGGTCCACCAACGTCATGAACGGCGACTTCAATACTGCACAATATGCGCCAATCCGCAGGGATCAAAGTGTGAATTCAATCTATGCCGCGTGTGCTGCAAGGACAAGTGCTATGGCGAGGACTGCGACTGTCGCGGCCATGGTATACTAATCAAATCGAGACGAGCCAAGGCCAAAAAGTACCAGGAACATTCCCAAATAGAGGAGAACAACGATTCCGGCGTCCGAACTGAGAATCTGGTTAGTGATCCTGTGCCGCCTGTCGTGGCAGGGAATGTTCCCTGATGTTCGTTCGGTTTAAGTGAATTTGTGCAGGAAATGACTATTCTAATTGTTCCTATGTCGACTTATATAAGAATGTAGATATTTTTGCGTGTTAAATATCGAACTTTAATTGTTACTTACAATGCAAAAGCATTTTCATGGACGGTTCCGTCAAGGCCAATAAATTAAAAGTTTCAAATCACAGAGTGATTCCTATATTATTTTCTACATTTATTAACTAATTTGAATAACTGAAATATAAGTTCATTATTCATTTTTATTTTGATGTTAAAAGCTGTTAAAATCCAAAAAGAGGTTAATTTTTTCAGTTTTTTCAGCTGTTTATACAAGAAAGATGATTCATGAAGAAAGTTCTTCCACAAAGCCTTTCTTAGATATTTAACTATCTAAAAAAAAAACCCCAGAAAACCTAAGAATTTATTGTGAGAAGAAAAATATACATCGCTTTTGGGTATATTCCAAACCATTTTTAAAAGACATCAATGTACAAAATTCTAAAATGAATTTTATCGAAATCGGCGTTTCAATCGTTGGCGAATCGTTTGGCCTTGGCCAAACTCTACCTTAGCCCTAATTAAGAAATTTTTCACTCTAAATGTACATCATGGAAAAAGTTCTCATGTATTATGCTGGTTAAATTTACGTGGGAGATTCTGAATGTGCACACACTTTGTGTCAAATGATAATATGCGTTTAGACATTTAGTTGGGCTACTCGTCCTCGTAGCTGGGTTTGGCCAGGAGGGGTATGGTTACATCCACCATATTCGGGTAGACCAAAAACTTGTTGACAGTCTCGCACAGCTTGCTCTCAATGACATTGGTCACAAAGGTCCAGTCGACGGACTTGTCGCCCACTTGAGGCTTCGTGGATATCCACAATCGTGGTGGCCCCCGGAAGCACAACCACACCCGATCGGACGGCGGGGGCGGTATGTTGATTGTCCCACGAGCCACCATGCCATTGAGATCAACGCGTAGTGTGATGTTTGCATTCATTCTCTCTATGCGTCGCTGCACGTACGGCAGCTCATTGACATATCGGGATAGTTTTGATCCGGCTTTCCGTTGGACTATCTTGAAGATGCTTTGTGTTTTCCTCGGCGTGTTCTGGGAGTTGCTGAAACAATCGCAGAGAGGATATCAGCGGGAATTCAGCAGGAATCCAGCATGGAAGAGGGGAACTTACTCAGTCCTGGACGCATTCTCAGTTGTGGCGCCCGTCGGTGGGCTGTCAACTTCGTCGGAGGAGCCACTACTCTCGCCATCGCTGTCGTAGATGGCGGTCGTGCTGTCCATCGGTGTGTCATCGTCCCCCATATACTGGGGTAGATCTCGCTGTGCCGATGCGCTGGGAACGCTTTCGGCTTCCAATGGCGTGGCCTTGGCCTTGGCTCGGATTCGGCGCAAATTGAGCTTGGTGGTCACCGTAATGTGAGCCAGTCCCTCGTAGGTGAGGTCCGCATCCACCCACACACCGCGCTCGTCCAGCATAGGCTGGGAGACTCGATGGCACAGCACGGGCGATCCGCCCATATAGATGTTCGTTATGATCACCTCCTCCATGTAGCTGGGCAACTGTGGGACCAATCACAGCAATGAAAAGCTCTCTCCATTGACTTTTTTCCACTTACCTTAACGGAGTTGAGCTTCTTCTGCAGAAATTCCTTGATCCTTTCTTGGAGTATCGCATCATGCAGCATGCTGAAGAGACAGCGCCCCATCAGGACATTGGCCCAGACAACGCTGCCGGAGGGGCCCAGAAACAGGGAATGGTTAACCCCCTTCCATAATTCATGTTCTTGGCGCTTGGCGCGCCGATTCTATGTAGGAATGTTGCTTATTATTTGGTCTATTTGGTCAAAAAGGCAGAAAATTGAACCAACAAACATACTTTCCTTTTCTCTGAGCCGTTCTCGAGGCGGGATACTTTGGTAACTGGGATCTGGGACTGTCGACAAGCTTTCTACATGGATCGAAGAGAAAAATAGAAAACTACAAGTGAAAAATCGGAGGGAGAAAAGGAGCCACACCTGGTAGACGGACATGAAACGGACATAATCTGCAGGATTCCTAGACACATCGGAACTCATGATCATTCCCTCGAATGTCTCCTCCTTTGGCGCCTCGGTAAGTAAATCATCCAAGGTTATCTCTTCGAGCTCTAAGTCGGGCGTCTGCTGACCTTCAGTCACAGTGGTGGCAAACGATACCTCGCCCAAGCTCCGATTATCCATCTGATTATCCTTCGGAACCGCCTATGGTAAGTGCAAAGTACTCGTATATTAACGACCGGGGTCGAGATAAAACACGAAAGCACCTGCTCACCTTGAGTCCACCCATGGCGTCGTCCATGCGGGCAGCTGCCTGCCTGGCGGCGGCCATCTGCAGGTCAGTGTCCTCCACAAAACGTGCCATCGGCACCTGAAGCTCCTGCTCATGGACACGCCCCTTGCTGGCGGCGATGAAGCGGCGATACCAGTCCTCCTTCTCCCGGTCACATCGCGTGAAGAGCAGCAGGCGAACCTCATCGCCACAGGGCACCGAGATGTCGTTCAGCTCCACGTCCGCATAGACATTGTTCCGAGATTGTTCAGAATTCGAGTTCGAGTTCGATTGAATGCGTCTCATGTCTGCGGCAAGATTCTGTTTTTCCTGATCCTCAGCGGCTGGCGTGGAGCCCTCGGCAAAGCTTAGTGATGTTCGGGCCTCCTTGGACTCCAGCCTGAGCGTTGAGATCGACAGAGATTCAGTTGACAGACTAGACGTGGGTGACTTACAGGCGTTCTGGATGGTCAGCTGGATGGGATACTTGCGATTGAAGTAGCTGCAAAAGAAGACAATTAAATATGAGTGTTGAAGAGAGGTCCTTCTCAAGGATCAACTGTTCACCGCTTCTTGGCCAGGCCTTCGGGCAGTAGCTCAACGCGACAGTCCCTCAGATCATAGGAGCGATGATCGGTGAAAAGGACCTTCTTGGAATCGATGGGCTGCTCGTTCCACATGCAACGCTTCGGTATCCTCGCTTGGGTGCCGGACATATTCAGGATGCAGCCATCCAGTCGCACATAGATTGATCGTGTCAGGTGGAAGGAGAAGGTGTGCGGATCGTAGCTGTCTATCTCGTTCATCCAGCCCGAGTATGTCACAATCGTCCTTTGATCCGCCGACGATGGGATCTCACAGATGGGCATGTCCTCGTAGTTCGGTATCCCGAAGACACCCCTTTCCGGATGGGCGGAGAACATGAAATGATCAAAGACCCAGCGCAGGTGTTTGCCGCAGGAGTCCATTAGAGCCTTGAACAGCATTGTGGCGAAGACACCGCGTAGGAAGTCCTGCATCGGCAGGATCATCAGCACCACCATGGAGGCCCCCAGCGCTATGGGCGTGGCAATGGATGACACCGTTCCGCGATGACTACGCCATCCATTTAAGCTGATAGAGCTTCCTCTGGACAAGAAGCTGAACCGCGACTTGGATTGTGGCCTATCGGGAGGCCTTTCATCAAAGGACACTGTGGCATCAGGAAACGCCAAAATCGCGCGTGAATCGACCCCATCTCCCTTCCTCCCGCCATTCCTATCATCCGTAGGCGCCTGCTCCAAATCTGGCCGCACGACCGGCAAACCTGCTCGGTTGATCGACATGGGTATCATGTCCTCGAGCACCTCAACTCTAGACTCAATCTCCATATCCTTGCGGGCCTTGCCCCGGTGCTTTGCCTTGCCACTGGCAATGGCAATCTCCGTGGACGAGGCGGAGGCATTCTGCCTAGCCTCTGCTGCCTGCTGGCTGGTCGATGGCTCGCTGTCCGCATCGAGCACGTTGCGTCTTCGCAGAAAGCCGCTACGAAACGAACAGGACGGCGCACTGGGACTGGGGCTGATGTTCTTCCTGTTCATGGCTGCCGCCTGATGATGGGCCTTCTCGTTGGACTTGTGGATGTGGGCCACTGCCGCTCCTCCGAATCCGACTCAACTGCTGATGCCGGCGGCATCAAATTTCAATTAAAAAATTTGAAATGTTTGTATTTTATTTTTTAAATGGTTTGCTTTGATGGCATCTAGGTGAAAGCAGTGCAAAAGTTATCTCCCGGCAGGGACTCAGACCCGGATTACAGCATGAGCGTGCAGGTGAAAAGACCACTGGATGAACATGGACAGGGTGGGCGCATAGACATCAGGATGGTGCGATCTGCGGCCAGGGGATTTGGGTATGCTCTCCGTGCTGTTCATCAGAGTGCCATCCACCTCACGCAATGTCAGTGATTCCAGGACCTTGCGCCCCTCGTTTATGCCGTTGTCCGTCTGGTTGATCGGAGTGGTAGTGAGGCTCAGCTTCTGATTGGATTGGCTGATTGTGGATTGAAGAAAGTTGAGATTGCTAAAGTCCGCCGAGGTGATCACGATGGAAGACGGCGGCGATGTGTCCTGCAGGAAGTGACTAGACCTCGAATATCCAGTAGCAGCATCGTCGGTGTGCCACTCTCGTTGATTGAAGATGAATGTTGGGTCTGCAGAAAAACATATGGAATTAGATGGGAAATAGCTTTGGCATGAAAAATTCAAGAGAATTAATTTCTACTCACGAACTGCAGATTCCGTCGCTTGATGCGGGTGAAGTTCTTCGAGTTGTGTTTGTAGGTTTTTTAGGGAAGTAATATAAGGACTCCGGACTCCTTTTCTTCTTTTCTATAATTATGTGGTTGTGTGTGTCAGTGTATTTGAAAAGTGTTTAAGTAATTAATTAGGATTCTGAACTATGTTATAGATCAAACTCTTTTTCTATTTTGATGACGAGCTTATCGGAATCATCGGAATCATCGGTCAAGTTATCATCGATCTCTTTTTCCCAGTCAAATAGAGCATTTTTATCTGGTATCAGGACATCTTGTTGTAGGTGCTCGGATATGAAGTCCTGACCATTTGAATATAAACTTGCACCAGGCCCATTTAAACGATGCATATCCTTTAGTTCTGGATTCGTGCTCCGAATGATTGGAGACACTGCATTTATTTCCTTGAGTAGTGTATTTCCGCCCAAGCTTTTGCAACTTATTGATATTCGGGGTGGCGTTGCGATATTTATGTTAATTTTCTCCAGCCCAGAGTGCCCATGGGACTCGTTCAAAGCCTTGTACCGATTAATACACTTATTCTCAATGGCTGGAATTATGCAGAGCACATCGTTTTTTATCAACCAGATGGTTGGTGATTCTTGCCGCTCCAATACAAAGTTGCGCTGGAAATTACGCAGATTTTGGCCAGTGGAGCTGTATTCCGTAAAGCGGCCAGTAATGGTTAAAATGCGCACGTGAGAAGTGGACATCTGTATATCTACGTTGAGTCCTGGGAGATAGGTTTCCATCTTGGGCAAGCGACCCAGAGCATGGACCACAGCCTTACGACCAACCTGCAGCTTTGCCGAGCGGGCAAAAGCAGATTGTGGGCTCGTGTAATTGCGATTGTAGAGCCTGTAGGCAGAGACCTGCTTCATCGCCTCCGTCACACTCAAGGAGAACGTGGCCAACTCGTGGTAGCATTGCTCCAGCTGGGAGCGTTGGTCGGGATGATCGAAGAACTGGTAGAAATCCTTGATAAAGGTCTTGACAAAGTTTTCGGGTACTGCACTCCCGAACAGCTTCAATTTTGGCCGACCCATAGAAACGTTCTCCTTGTTCTGCGATTGGCGACATCTCTGCACGTTCTGGAGTTGGGGAAGAATGGCTAGAATGTCATTTTTTAGATTAGCCACCCCATTGCCCTGTAGGATTAGATTCTTCAAATTCAGATTGGTCAGATACTGTAGTTCGCGTAGATCGCCAATGTTGTTCGAGCTTATATCCAGGCAATCCAAGCCGGCTAACAATCCATTAGGAATCACACTAAATGCCTTCAGCGAGCACAAGTAGTTGTCTCTGAGAACGATCTTAGACACCTGGGGCGTTTCTTTGGATATTAAGCGCAGAACGCCCTCCAAAAACTTGTCCACGTACAAGGGGCAAAAGTAAGGGGTCAGTTCCGGCTTGGCGTGAAAACGCGAGAGGTTGAGAGTGCGAGTGGCGTCGTCGTAGGAGGAATGCAAAGCATCTTTGGCAGCCGCCTCGAATTCTGAAGTAATTACAGCATTCAGAGTGTGCTCGGGTATGCCCTCAATCACGCGTATCTGAATGCTCTGGCAGCTAAAAATCACGCTCAATTTTGTCTGCAGCCGCTTCAATCGATTGGCAGTCAAAAGGTTGTCCAACGAAAAGGATCCGAGTGAGCCATTGCGCTTGTAATTGAACAGTTCGAGCGTCTCGGGCGTTACCAGGTATTTGAGGGACAGGAAAATGTCCGCGTCAGCGACGTTCCCACATCCTGACATTTCCACCGTGGTCCATCTCACGATGGCTTTGTTAGTCGTCCGGTATTGACTGCTAATGCGATCTAGCTTTTCAAGGAGTAATGAAGCAGTCACGTGTGAAGAGACGGCCATCAGAGCTTCTGTGTACGCGTTCAACATTTTCTTGTTTTGAAAGTGTTTCTTTATGTGGCTCAGGCCGGTATACAGTTGTGCTTTCGTTTGCACCCCTAGGCGATCGGCTGATTCATTTATTTTTTCACTGGTTGGGATCTTCATTGTTTGTTTTATTAAATCAAAAAACGTTAATTGCACAGTCAAATTAGCGTCGACAAAAAAAAAGCTATATGTGTGTGAACACTAAAATGGAGTCAATGACGTCAATGGCAAATGTCAGAAGTCTTCTAATGCATGGTCACACTTAACAATATGGAGAACGAACCGAAAGTAGTTTTAGTTTCAAATTTAAAAACCAGATAGGGCGGAAGCAGGCATTGTGAGCGAGGGAAATATATGCTGTAGTTTGGATTTTAATTGGTCTGCTGGCAGAGCAATCTGATTTCGCCCACAGAAAGTCAAAACATTGATTTCAAGATTATTAGACGAAGGCATAGTGCAAACCATGTGCTTATTTTGTTTATCTCTATATAACTCCCAACAACTAATTTTGGAACAATTCTTCACCAGTTCAAATAAATGGCTTGTTATAAACATCAAGTTTATGGCAAGTATATTATGTTCTTTTCGGAAAATAACAGTTTTAATAGTTAATATTTCTAGACTTGCCTAGCCTGAAACTAGTATCAGTTGGTAATTTGGGTCAATCTAATTGTGATTTACATAACACACATAATGACACGTGGTCATTTTTTAAATTAAAAAAGTGAAAGAACACTTCACAGTTAGTTGTATTTTTAGCGGTTTAACTCAAGTGGTTCACCTGTTTAAAAAGAGGGGGGTTAAGTGGGTTAAGTTCGTTCATTCATCATGAACGCAACGTGAGAGTCTACCTTATTTTTCCTTCCATTATGTAGCAAAAGTGTAGATACCGTGTTGTTGCCATGTAATAAATTGATCAAATGTAAACAGAGAACATTTTTTTGCGCCGAATTTTATTTAATTTGTATTAATGCAATGCAACAGAAACCTCAAAAACTAGTTTTGTTCGTAGTGCCAACATTCAATAGCTATTAAATATTATATTTAACATCGGAGTGCACCAATTTTACATGAGCACCAGTTGCACGTGCTTGCGGCATATAACATTAAGAAATGGAACAAACAAAGCCATTTTTCGACTTTTGCGTACCATTCAGCAAAGATGACAAACAAATGCGGGCCATACTCAACGAGTTGGTGGAGTGTGAGTAGATTAGAGTGTGATTGAGTGCGGGAATGCATTAATTGTTATCCCCAACCTCTAGTGGGCTATAAGACGATTGCCATCGACCAGAGCTTCGACCACAGCAAAAAGGATGCCGGTAAACGTGGCTCCGAGATGTTTCCCGCACCACACAGCATCGAGCATTTGCGGAAGGAGTTTGCCGACAAGCTGAGAATTTTGCAGAGGATAACAATTCTCTATGTGGATGTAAATCTCTCGCATGCGATGGTAAGCTATTAATTGTATGCTATTTTTTCCCGTACTAATGTATTATGTCCCGTTTAGAGTGTTTCGTATAATCTGAGAAAGTTCAATCTTATTGCTGGACAGCCCAAAACCGATGCCGCACTGACGGTAAGCGCTCTGGGATATAAACTCTTGGAACTCTCATTTATTCTGCGTTCTCCAACAGCATTGCTGCACCACATTCACAGGGGACATAATAACCTTCGATCCTGTTGCTGGTTCGAGGCTTTCGGTCAACAGAAAGGCCTACCAGGTGGCCGTTCGTCGTGGCATGTTCTTTGAGATCAAATACGCCCCAGCTATTGCGGACTCCAACAATCGCAAGGACATGATAAAGATGGCCCAGAACTACTCCATCAAGGGCAAGTCAAAGAATATAATTCTCAGCAGTGGAGCAGAGCATGAGTTCCAGCTGCGTGGACCCTACGATGTCGCGAATCTGTAAGTTTCGCCAGATTTGCTTTGGCTTCTAATTTATATCAATTTATCATTTTAGAGCCTTTATATTTGGTTTGTCGGAGGATCAGGGAAAGAATGCTGTGGATCGTTTCTGTCGGCAAATCTTTTTGCGTGCCGAATCGCGACGTTTGGGCAAAACAATAATGTTTGTTAAGGGAAGTGGTCCCATAGTGTTTTCCGACGATGACCAAAGCGGAGCGGAAGATGACGAAATGGATGGGTTAGGCACCGAAATGTCGAAAGACGTTCAAAATGAAGAGCAAAATGAAATAAAACCACCCATTAAAAGACTGAAAGTGGCATAAAACTAACGTAAATGTTTTTTAGTTTTCAAATCTAAATGTAAACATTTGCTGTTGAGAAAATGGTCACATTGGAAGCGCCACCACTCACACTGCAAGTAGTGATGGGAGATTTCACTACTCACGTCATTCATCGGGCTAGATCTAGAATTGCCCGCCAGATTCAAAACGCAAAGTTGACAATGGGCGACTTGGTGAGCAAGGACAGGACCATCAATTTGTGTATTTTGCAACATTTTAAATAAAAATGTCAACAAAAAAATCGTTATATTTTTACGATTTGCAAGGTCAAAACTGACGCGGCCACGGCTCAGCTCAAGTTATTTAAATAAAGGGGACTGTGGGCTTTTTCGAAACGGTAATCGGCTCTTTTTGCTCTCTTCAAATCGGTTAATGCTCTCTTTGAATCGGGTATGAATCGGTAGAAATACTGAGTCAAAAGTTGCGGCTACTTTGTATGGGCATAGAGCAACAGTCTGATACCCTTGGGAAGAGGATATTATAGAATGGAGGAAATGTTTGTCATGTTCGGCTTCAATGTATGCAGAACCTAGTCAGTCTATGTTTTAAAGGTATTCCAACGATATTTTGAAGGTAGTGGTCTTCTTACAGAGACCAAGAATTGGTATCGGGATTGAAATATTTATACAGGAATTTTATAAAATGCATGACTACGTCTAAAACATATCAATTTGAGAAAATGTATTTGGCAATTACGTTTAAAAACAGTTTTTAAAACAGTATCTTCATATCAATTTAACGAAATGGAGTATGCAATTGCCCATTCTCTGGTTGACCATTGAAGCGACCACACTTTGACTGTTTTTGGGTTGAACTTTTTTGTTTAGACCTTGTTTTAGTCCAAATACAATAAAAGCAAGGACTAAAAACTAGCCAATCATGTAGAAAATGAATTTATCAATGGTTTAAAATTATATAGGCAGAGATAAAAGTCTTAGTTAGCCAGCATTATTCAACAGAATATCAAAATTGAGGAATAGGAACGATTGCTCACTTGCTTCTTTTTCTTTGACCTTTTTTGCTAAAACCTTTTTTTAGGCGAAATGCCATAAAGCAAGTAATTAAAATAAAACAGTCAAGTAGAAAATATGTTCATTAATTGGATAGAATTATGTGGGCAGCGCTAAGGGCTCAAAATAGCTCGTAATATTCGACGGAATATCAAAAACGAGGAATATGATAGAACTTGAATTCGTCAGTATATTTAAGGTATATTTTTCAAATGAGACGGTATATTTTGGTATATTTCTGAGGGTCGTACGATATATTTTATCGATATGGGTCACACTGAACAAAACAAAATGGAGGTTCGTGTGGTGCGTTGTCCGACATAGTGCTGCTAGAATTTTGCATTAAACGGTAATTAAAAGTGTAAATCAATTGATGAAATTAACCAGAAAACGCTGATAAAGTTGCCGGCAACCGGATAAGCAAGAAACCCCAACAAAATTGAGCGTATTTTAAGCGAAAAATGCATTTGAAAATCGCACCCGAAAAAGAGACACTTGAAAAGAAAAAAATGTGCAAAGAAGAAGAGAGAGGAGAGCGAAGAGCGAGCACAAGACGACACACAAGCGACGAGAAAAACGGCAAAAGAAATATGTATTTCGCGAGACGGCGACGGCAGAGAAAATCAAAAGCCAATGTCCAATTTTCAATTGTTTTCCCTAGTGCCAAGTGCATTTTGTAAATATGTATGTTTGTGTGTGTTAATTAATTGGCCAAAAATAATTACAACAATTTCTAAAACAAGACATAAATAATAAAATCTCAATGTGTGAAAGAGAAGTGAAGTCTTGGAAGTTTTTTTTTCTTCTGCTGTCTAATTAAAAATGGACCTCTCTGTGCAGCTGTGTGTGTGTGTGTGTGTTTGTGGATGTGTGAGCTTCATCATGATGTTTGATGTCTTTTGCGGGGGTGTGGTGTGGTGGTGGAGACAAGCAAGCAGCCAACAAAGTTGATTTCTTTCTTCAAGTCTGCTCTTGGTCTCTCTCGAACCGCACAAATTAGTTGCAGTTGATTTTTGTCTTCTTCTTTGCCGTTTCTTCTTTGTCGAAGAGATTTTGCGTTTGCTCGCCATTTATAATTGCTGCCTTCCTTTTCCCACTCGCACACTCTTCTTCTTTGACTCCCAAAAATGTTGTTGCCTTTTTTCGCGTATCGCGCGTCGCATAAATTTTTGTGTATGTATTGGTCTCCCTTTTTGGCTGTGTGAGTGCTGCTGCAGTATTGCCAACATCGGGAGATGCAGGCACAGAGCACAGCACCATTTGCACCTGTGCAAAAGACAATCTCCCTGTCGTCGTCACCCCTGCAGCCTGCAACTCTACGAAATGATACATTTTCTGCCGTCCCTCTTCTGTGCTTGCTACATAACATATTTTGTTATGGTTGCAGCATCTCCTTGAGTTTGGTTACTGGCTAGCCGAATTGAAGAGTAATTAAAGTCGAACCCTTTTGATACGCTATGTTAATTTGAGCGCAAGAGCAGCAGAGCAGGCAGATACATTGCCCCTGCAACGGTATCCTATCCCCATCTCTTCTTCTTACTCTTTAGGCTTCAACCATTTGATTGCTGGCTGCTCTGCCTCTGTCAACTCATCTGTCTGCCTCCCTCTTGCTCATTTTTACCCATACTCTCCAACACTCACACAAACACACGCTCGGACACACGTTTTTCTAGCCGGGCCACTCGCTGGCTGGCCTGGCCTGCCGTGCCGTGCCGTGCTATGCTATGGTGCTGTGCCTGCCTGCTCTCTCACACTATAACGCGCAATTGATGAGAGAGCGTAAAATTCATGCGCTTGTCGCTGCTCTCGACGCGACGCGTCTGTTGTGCGTCTCTTCGTCTGGTGAGACGGTGGCGGGCATCCATCGGCTGAAACAATTTTTTGTCATTTGCTTTTCATGACTTCTTTGCGGTCTTTTCCTTTGCTACAACTAAAATGAAGAAAAAGATATATACCAGAGGAGAATAAGAAGAGGAAGAAGCAGCAGAGATTTTCAGTAATATCTATCGATTTCTTTGTTTGGCTGCTGCCGACGATGACGGCGGCGCTGCTCCAACTCTACGTGCGCGTATATCATGTTTAATTGTAATTATCGTGTGTGCGTGTGCATATGTGTGAGTGTGATTGACTGTATGTGAGAGAGGAGAGCAAGAAGCAGCAGCAACAGTCCGCGAATGGCAATCGTTGCGCTTTTGTAGTTTGTGCTTCTTCTACATTCCTCTTTTGTTGGTGCTGTTGTGGTTGTTGTTGTTGTTGTTGGTACAATTGTGCTACAATTATTGTATCTACACTTGAATTAGCAATTGTTGTATTCGTCGTCATTCCTTGTTTCCGTCGTCATCTGTCATTCTCGAACGAGAATCGACTCGCGCGCGCTCTTGTCCGAAAAAAATTGATTGCGTGACCACCAACCAAATGAACTGTAAAACTGCTTGTATGTGAGAGGGAGAGCGTCGAAACGGATTAGCAGCACAGCACCATTACCATTGCCAGCAGAGAACCATAAAAAAGGTGAGTAAATATTTGTTTAACCCTAGAAATTAAGTTGTATTCTGATATAAGGTAGAGCCGTGCAAAGGTTACCACGAAACTTTGAGAAATTTACAACAATGGGAAGGCAGAAAATGCTTTTTAGAAAAATAATTATGTATCTTCAAGCCCAAGCAGCAGATACAGGCAGACAGTCGCAGACACACACACAAAGAAACGTACTCTCACAAACAAGAGAAACCCACACACACAAGCAGACGAAATAATTTCAGAACCAGAGGGAGAAGCAGTAATAAAAAAGCGTCACACGCCATACCCTTTCCACTCAACCGCACTTCCCCCCGCCCCTATGACCACTCGTTCACTCATTTTATTGAGAGAGTGGGCAGCCCCCATTATTTGCGGCGAAAAAAAAATGAAGAAAAGAAAAAAGCAGCGCCGCCTTACGTGACGTGCAAATGAGAACAACAACAACAACAACAGCAAACAAGAAGAAGAAAACTGAAGCAAACAATTCATCGAAAGAGACGACAAACTCACACACAAACACGAAGACAGGGGAAAGAGCGAGAATGAACGGAACAAATGGATGGATGGAAAAGCAGGGGCACCAGGCAAAGCCAAAACCATATCATCCATCCCAAAAAACCGAATCAAAACCGACCAAACAACACAAGGCGCAAAACATATGAACGACGACGACGACCCCACACACAAGCACACACACAGATACAGACAGATGTACAGATACAGACAGCCGCATGCATACCACACAAACAAAAGGCAAAGCCCAAGCAGCGCCACGGATATGCGAATGCGAATAAAATAGCAACAACAACGTAGAGTAAGAGCAAGAGCAGCCGCATCAGCAGAGGAGGAGCAGAAGCAGCAGAGCAGGGCAACCAGCAACAACAACAACAACAACAACTATGCGGCGAATTTGCACGAATCATGCGAAATCTCCAATACACACATACACAGGCCACACTCCTCACTCATCCGTATAGTATATGCCCCCATCCCATGCATAATACGTGTTTTTTTTTTGTACTTGTCGCCGTAATGTTGTTGGTTTGTCGCCGCCGTCTTTTCCATTTCTCGCCGCCCAACTGCCAACCGCCATCCGCCGCCATCATCATCTCGGTCTGCGCTTTGCCTTTGAGATTTTTCTTGATTCTCAGCTCTGTCGCTCTCGCCATCTTTTTCGCCGCCTTTGACCACCCAACATCAACAGTAACAACAGCACAATCCTGGAATGAAAGCCTCTTAAAACCAAAGCTAATTTTTTCTGTCCATCTTTTTTAAAAATTTCATTTCGTATATCTGCCACTTTATTCGCATTTTTGTTTGTCGCTTTTTCACTCTCATTCTATACGAAAAGCTGTCGGCATGTTGTCACTGTGTCTCTTCTGTCTCTCGGTTGGAATCCCCCTAACATGGCGCTGACGCTGGCTGCTCTGCCGCCAAAGGCCGGCACACGACCCCTTCCCTCTCCATACTCCTCTCCGTCTGCACCAGTCCAGCCCCTCCCTCGTCCCCCCCTTCGTCTGCGGCAGCAGGCAGCACGTGATATACTCGCTTTGCTTTTGTAATTTTGCTTTTGGCCTTCTCTTTAGCGCACGCTATGCTTTGCTTTCGTATTTTTTGTTGTTTTTTTTTTCCTCTTCATACATTCATTTCACTTGTTGGGCTGTTTTTTTTTTCTCTCTCCCTCTCTCTTTCTTGTGTGTTCTGCTTTGTGTGAGCTGTTCGCCGCTCTCTCGGCTTTAGCCGGCACACAGTGCGCTCGTGTTAGTATTCATTCAAGAGAGCGGACTCGACTCTCATTCTTGCTCTCTCTCTCTCACTCTGGCAGTTGTTCTGCTCAAAACGGCTGTTTCTTGAACTTCCATCTCTCTGCTTCTACTGCTTGCCGCCGCCTCTCTGCACATACTCTCAATCCCACAATGACAATGGGCACCTCTATCCGGTTTAGGTCCAGGTGCAAATTTTTATACAACAGTTTTAACTCGATAATCGGGTCAGGACTTGTATCTTGTATAAGGAAGGACGACTGTTTGTGTGCATGTGTGCGTTTTTTAGGTAATTTTTACATATACACCTTTCGTTATTCTAGCGGGAAACATGGCGTCAGTTTTGTCACATTTCGCCTATGCCTATTCCTATCCATCCACGCTTCTGCTTTGCTCTCTTTGGCCACACTGTGACAATTTTGCAACGTCATCATATGCATCCACTGCATGTGTCCACGCACTAGAGATGGGCAGGCGTTTTCTATTGATTTTGTGCTGTGTGTTGCAATATGGCTGGCTAGTGCTATAAAGAATTAACGCTTCATTTTTGAACATTTGGCAAACCATCGACAAAGGTTTTCGTTTTCTATCACCTTGTTTTCGAAGGTGTTAATGATAGCTGGCCAAATATGGAAAGTGTTTTGGATAGTTACTCTAAAACAATCTACTCACTACCACAATTATGAACTCTTGGGATTCCATCTTCTGTTTGATATGATTTTTCGGAAGCAACAATATCGCTCATTGCTCATCTCTAATGCCAATTGGACATGCCATAAATGTGCCGTTACACATTCAAAAAGCTGCGACGCGACGTGTTTGTAATTTTTTGCCCAGCGAACTTTTGTGTGTCGCTGCTGACTTTCTGTCGCTATTCGCGGGCGTGTTTGTGTGTGTGTGTTAGGGGAGTTGGTGCTGGCTCTGCGCTCTTTGGCTTTTCCGAAAACTGTGTGTGGCAGCAGCGTCGCGACGCTGCTGTTACTTTACCTATTTTATTACCATTTTTATGTACGTTTCGGTGAGTGTGTGTGTGTGTGCGCGTTGCGCTGCTGCGCCCATCTGTCTC